TACATTTGTAAGTCTTGGTTTGGATTAAATAAAGTTATTCTCACTCCAACTAAAAGTTCATTTCACCCTGCGCCCACGGCTACAGATTTCTACGTTGTTGAATCCACTAAACCTTTGTATGTTTGAAAAAGTCCATGAATTTTTATATCGAATCCTATTAGTGCATCAACTATTAATTTATTAACAGAAGTTTTGTCTAATAACACTTAATCAAAACTCCCAAAGTGTTTTAGATTCTCATTCGATATCGTTTATACTAACAATTTAATGAGTTTTGTAGTTATATACGCGTTTCTCATTTCCGTAAAAACCAAACAAATTTGATAACATTATCAGCTAGTTGACACTGGTCATATATATTTCTACAAGCGAAATACATCTAATTAAAACACAACTAACGGCTAACCGATTTACTAGTCAAACGATGTAATTATGCATTTGAAAATTTAAGCCTATAAGACGAACATGTTTAGATAATATATATTGTATATCAAAACGTACATCGGTTTTCAAAATGTTTATAAGCGATGGTGAATTTTCTAGTACTTATTTTTTTATACGTAATGACTTTGAATTAAGATTTTATCAAATAAAATATAAGCTCGTGTAACGTAACAATATAAAGATAATAAACTATATTTTTGTGTGACAATATAGATAACTGCACAAAATGTACGCTATTGGCGAATAATTAGAAAACAATAGTCAAGCAATCCTGTACTGATCTTCCTGGTATTTTTACATTTCTTCTGTTAACCCTTTTCTTCCCAAATAACACAAATTTTTTCTTAACTTTCATCCTCATTTCTTTTAATGAAAAAATCGTAAGAAAAATTTATCAAGCATCATATCTTGTAGATTTTGACCTCCTCTTTCGAATGCCGTTGACAAAATTTACCTAAATTGTAAGCCGAAAACGTTATAGGCCGGTTTTCCGGAAAATTCACAAATTTTTCGCGTTTTTTTTTCTAAAAAAAGTATATTTTGAAATGGAAAAAGTTTGCACACACCATTGGAAACACTGTTATAGGTGTTATAGATGTCTTTTCTTTCAAATGCCGTTGGATTTTTTCCGAAATTCAAAATGGCGAACACAAAATGGCGTTCGAAAGGAAAAATTTTTTTTTTAAACTTGACGAATTTTTTCCTCCAAAACTATCAAGTTTAGTGAAAAATTTCTAAGAACAAAAATGTATTAAAATAAATCAAGAAATACTATCAAATTTTTTTAGATTTTTTTAAAACAAATTTGGAAATTTCGATTTTCCGATTTTCCACGAATTCGAAAATTAACTCGGAAAATTCTGAAAAAAATTGAGAGTACTCCTTGGTAAATTTTAAGTCTCTTTTGTTATAATGAATTTTTTTATTGAGTCAATAGTTTTTGAGTAAAAAATTAATCAATTTTATTCCTAGTATACATTTTTTTCAAACTGGTTTTACAAAATTTTAAAAAATTTCAAGTCTAACAATTATTTTTTTTGCTACCCTCGCTAAAAGTCGATTTTCCTGATCGTGACGCGATAGGACTTTAGGCGAGAGAGTTAATTTTCGAATTCGTGGAAAATCGGAAAATCGAAATTTCCAAAGTCGCTGTAAAAAAATCTGAAAAAATTTGAGAGTATTTCTTGACTAATTTTAAGATATTTTTGTTCTTAGAAATTTTTCACTAAACTTGATAGTTTTGGAGGAAAAAATTCGTCAAGTTTAAAAAAAAAATTTTTCCTTTCGAACGCCATTTTGTGTTCGCCATTTTGAATTTCGGAAAAAATCCAACGGCATTTGAAAGAAAAGACATCTATAACACCGATAACAGTGTTTCCAATGGTGTGTGCAAACTTTTTCCATTTCAAAATATACTTTTTTTAGAAAAAAAAACGCGAAAAATTTGTGAATTTTCCGGAAAACCGGCCTATAACGTTTCCGGCTTACAATTTAGGTAAATTTTGTGAACGGCCTTCGAAAGAGGAGGTCAAAATCTACAAGATTTGATGCTTGATAAATTTTTCATACGATTTTTTCATTAAAAGATATGAGGAAGAAAGTTAAGAAAAAATTTGTGTTATTTGGGAGGAAAAGGATTAATGTGATGTCCATAGTAGACATAAATTACATTTCTAAACTTGTTAAAAAATCGAGCGAGTAAGCTCTCATCATGGTACACGATGTCAATGTAGTTTAGTTTAAGAATATAACATCAATTTTAGTGCTGTGATATGGAAACCATCCTATTTACTCATCTCTGTACTTCAAATGAGCTGGATAATGTTGATTGTACACGTATCTTGGTAGTGCTACAAAATATGTATTATTAAAAACTAGGTTTATTTTAATATATTTTTATAACGGTACATACTGTACCTCTCTCTCTCTCTCTCTCTCTCTCTCTCTCTCTCTCTCTCTCTCTCTCTCCCTCTCTCTCTCTCCCTCTCTCTCCCTCTCTCTCTCTCTCTCTCCCTCTCTCTCTCTCTCTTTCCCTTTCTCTCTCACTGTGGTTACTTGCACTTGGCCAAACGCACTTGCATTTTGGATAAATGATTTTATATAAAATCTTTACCACTTACTGCAAGAGGACGAATAAGCAATCGATTCTTTTTGGTATCGCTCTAAAGTGTAAAGTCAGCTATTTTAGGCCTATACCTACATCTACAAACATTGATTTTTAAATTAATATAAAGTAATTCGAACGCAAAAATATCATAACGATGTCTTTCGGCTATGAATTTCTTCATCGCCAATAAAAACGTGTTTTATATGGGTACCACATACGGACATCAGTATTTGGCTCAACGATTTTGATCATAGTTCCACTATTAATGTCAGTTTGTGCTTCGTGGAAGCTTGTTGGGGATAGCATTCGAAGGCATTCTTCGATGTTTGTTTGCCTTCCGTTAATCTTGGAATCGCTACTGATAGTGCTTTTATCATCTGTGCGATTTATGGCAAAAACTGTTACAATCAAATGGAAAATTCTTTTAGAATTATTTTGCAACATCCAGTCAAGTTCATAGCTACACGTCTAGTAAGTGCCTTGTAGCGAAGTGGTAAATTTACATTGGCATACACTTAGATGTATTTTATTTAGCCTGCTAATTGAATGATATTATTTAGATTAATTATCCTACCGGCCTTTGCGATAGGTGCTACTATGGTGATCAGTTACAGTTACAACAAACGTACTCTATACTGAAATTTACCGAGTCACTTTGATCACTTAATTTAAATATAATCTTGATTTGAGTGCAGTCAAACTTCATTACAAACTATGTGGATTTCGATTGAATATCGAACGACATTTGAGTTGATTACAACAAACTATGCAAAAATTGCGGATTACCCAATGTCTTAAGAATACAGTGCGTTCGGCTATACTAATGAAAAAATAAGACGATATTATTGATGGTGGCGAGCCGACAGCTAAATGCAGTCCTGCGAGCGAGCTGCAATAATTGCAGCGAGATATTGCCTGCAAAGCCAGACGTAGTGCACACACACACGCGTGCGCGCGCGCTTGCACACACACGCGCGCATATACGCTAGTTGCTGAGAGCGCGGGCTGCGGATTGGATTGGATCGGGCGCCGCGTCAGCAATACAAACACTCGAGGGCCGCCGCCGTCGGCTCGCGCGGATGTGGGTCGCTCGCCCTTTTTCCCTCTCGCTACTGTTTCCAGCCTCGAAATTACGCGCTCTTTTTTCAGAATCGATCTCGCCGGCCGCCAACGCTTTCAAATCCCCGGGCTATTGTATTGATTTTCGACCTGCCCATAACCTCCCCCCATCACCACCGGTAGTGCCATTTTTATTTGCTTTTTTTCAAGTGTTATTCAACATTGCAATTTTTTTTAGCCAGCTCTTCGGATGCTATTCGCTTTAAAGTACTTTGTTCGAAATTGGTTTATCGTTACGGCAATACGTAGGCTATTGCACTAAAAAAATTGCAGATTTTTATTAAATGATAGCAAATTTTAGTTCGATTGCGCAGAAAGCTCTTGTAAAACAATGTGATAGTTATTTGAAAAAAAGTTTTAAAAATAATAATTTTTGAAAGCTAAAAATATCAGACTATTTCATTTCGGTATACTGATATTAAATGTTATCCGAATAACTCCAATACCATTCTTTGAACGCTGCACTGAAACAATTAATTATTCTCTAAATTATTATTCTTTTTTCAGTTTATATAACACGATAGAAACTAAATTGCGAACGAGTTAAAAGGCACAATTAAAAAAATATATAAAATGTCCAAAAGATAATCGCTAATGTTTTTTACCGAAATTAAAAAAATTTAGAAACAAAATTTATACATATTTTAACTGAATTATTACTTTCATTCGAATAACAACATTGCATGAAAAGCTATAAAGTTGTAAAATAATGTGGATATAACTTTCATGATGATGAGTAAGCAAATGTTTACAGATATGCAGATATTTGCATAATATTGCAATAAAACTGTCTAAACCGGTTATACGCTTAAGAAGTTTTATAGTTTGCTTTAAATAAAAATTGATAAAAATTTGTTATTAATAACGATCAGTTGAATTTAGCAACATTTTATTGCTTAGCATATATTCGAAAAATTTTGAATTAAGTATATAAGTTTTCGAGGTTTTTCTGAAATATTTTTACAAAAGTATAGATATTTTCTTTTTTGGGATTAAAAATTAATCGATTCCTTCTTTTTTATTTATGATGGATGCAGTCGTTCTATAAATATTCGTTGATTATTTATAATTTTGATATTAAAGCCAAGTAATAATAAAGAATATATCTATTCATTGCATACTGTTCAAAAATTATTGGTCAGACGATAATGTCCTACATTTTTTATTTGATTTCTTTCAATGAAAGCAACAGAACTATTATTGTGAAGGATTATTTGCAATACCAGTTTTTGTGTTAGCTTTTTGCTCATTTTGGCATGTGATGAGCTTGAAGATAAAAAAATTGGAATATAAATACAAGACTATGTCGGGACAGGTATCGCAGTCTTGCTTTGCCTTTGACGAAGTTCGCTTAGTAAGATTCTAAAAGTAAGTTTGGAAAATTGGCATAATTGTTTACAACTTTCTAAAAATTTATCAAAATATTTGCGTATTATTTTTCAAGCAATTGGAATGAATATTAATTTTATTTATTCGTTGACTTTATTTATTTAGAATTTCAAAAAACAACAATGAAATGGAATAATTATTTATTAATGTGTACGTAATACTTATTACAGAAGATGGAAAAGATGAATTTTGTGATCTTATTTCTGAGCGCCACAGTTACAACTCAGGCAACGGTGATAAAGCATCTGGAGCGAGAATGGAACATGACTCTTAATGACCTGACAATAAGAGATGCACCTGTTGGTAAACACAACACATTTCCGTATGCAAAATGCAGTTTAGCGACGGGAAACGAGCGCAACTGTACAGTGGTTCTTGAATCTTTCCATCCAGAGGGAATAGTTTACAAAAACAAGTGTTTCACTCGGTTCTACACTGATAAGGGGAGCGAAGGCGTGAATATGCTGCAAATGCGGGCGGTAAAAAATGGCAAAGTTGTGTTCACTTACGTGGACATACAAGCTCTATCTAAATATGGAGGAACTGCATACTTGGTATTTCGTGTGCTGGACACCTTGACTTGCAAGTACCACGAAGGCAAAGTATTTGTCAACATGACCGAGAGAGAACGCGAAACCGAAAAAGTGCAAAGCGAAGAACTTTATCTAACAAATGTATTGACGCGCGAAGACGGCAGTATTGACGCTTTTCTTATTTTTCAAAATTTGTGCGACGGCGGCGCTCGCTGCAAGGTGTCGTTTGACGCGAACGGCGAGTTACTTGGAAAACCGGTTTCTTACTTGTCGAAAGACGTATACTACGATGACGTCAAGGTCTACGCGGAGGCCTATGACACAACTCACACCGCGAAAGACTTCTTCGCCGTGATAAATAGATACAAAGCTTCAATTATTCATCGCAATCGAGGAAATGAGCGCAACGAGCTCGAGTTGATCCACGTAAAAGCTGATGGCAAAGAGAAAGGATTGTTACACCTTCAACAAGAGGAGCCACTGATAGCTGACGTGGATATTGATTACCACGGGGACCTTTCGATTTGCTGGGCGAAACGAGATAACAAAGATGTGACCACAGTTAAGTGCCGGCATTACAAGAACAATACGACAGACTTGCACGAACAATCCTATGAATTTGAATTGCCTCACGTCATCAAGACCTTGAAAGTTCGGCGCACAGTGCATTCTGAAGCACCGATTTCGGCATTACTTATTCTAACAGATGAATGCGAACATGAATCCTGCAATTACTATTTAAGGCTTCTCTCGTTAAATACCAACTACAATGATTCCAGCTCTAGACTGCTTCGTTATAATAGTCACAATATGGAAATTACTGGATTAAATTGTCCCGGAAAAAGTAAGGAAGTAAGCATTACTCCTACTTGGAATTATGATGGCTTGAATGTTTGTGTATCTTTGACTTGTCAACGAGCTGTATACTTTGAAAGCCACTATCGAACAGTACACAAACTTATTAGACAGTGTTTTTCAATGAAGTATTTAGATCGAGCGTATTTTGATTGATGCAATAGCTATGCTTACATTTAAATATATTTAGATAATTCGGTTCTGAAAATAGCTTTTCTAATATAACGAAGATTTATACCTTTTATACCTTCAACGTCATTTAATTTATTCATAAGGACCATTCATTGAAATAGTATCATTCGAAAGTTGTCGAAACGAATAATCGTATAAATTACATGGAAACATACACAGGAATAATAAAAACATTAGCGTAGACAAGTTCCCTTATATAAATACTTGACAACAAAAACGCTTGCATATTTATCATTATTCTATCATCATCACGAAATAAAGTTCATGCGTGCATATTTTTAAACGGTTCACAAAATATTAAAATAATTGGAAAATTTTTAATTTTATTATTCTTTTTACCGAATTACTCCCACAATTACGTCTTAACTGTATTATATATTATTATTATATTTGTACTTACACTTTTTGTGAAAATTATAATTTACTAACATGGAAACTTGTTTTATAAAACGTTTCTCTCATAACACAATAAACTAAGCGTTATAGATTATGAAGTATAATTATTAAGTAAAATAAAATAAAAAAATTAAGTAAATAAATAAAATGAAAATTAAACAGATATGCAGTCTAAAATCTGACACGATCAACAGTTTAATAACAATTATGATGTAATCTAATAAAAATAATTATTTTGTTCTTTGATACTTGTAGGACTGTGAATATTTTGCTAACAATGTAATCAATGAAATGATAACAATGCTAGAAATGCTAAAAGCTTTTTATTCTGGTATGTTATTATACATACATACATTGTAGTTATTAATACAAGTGATGCAAATAATTTTCAAGGCATGCTATAAATCACTTGTTATTTGAAACGATACTATTATTTTGTGTGTGTTGTGTGTGTGTGTGTATATATGTGTACATAACATTATTTAATATGTATTTGATAAAAAGTATAGTACCATTTCAATGAGAAAGTTTGAAAATTATTTGCATCACTTATATGGCATAACTACAATGTATTTCTTGATAAAATGTGGTATTTTTAAAAATGACATTTTTTGGTACTACACTTATCATTCGCATTTATACTGAAACTTACTTTATCACAAACGCATGGCGCGATGTTCTATTTATTAATCGTTGCTATGTACAAATCATGTTAAGCAATAGTAGTCTCATCTTGCACGCTGACTATCTTTGAAAATTATTTGCATCACTTATATTGCATAACTACAATGTATTTCTTGATAAAATGTGGTACTTTTAAAAATGACATTTTCTTTTACTACACTTATCATTTGCATTTATACTGAAACTTACTTTATCACAAACGCATGGCGCGATGTTCTATTTATTAATCGTTGCTATGTACAAATCATGTTAAGCAATAGTAGTCTCATCTTGCACGCTGACTATCTTTGACCAATTCTTCAACTCTGGTAAGTGAATACATTTTCAAAAAATGAATAAAATTATAAGTTCCGTTTGAATCGGATCGAAAAAAATATTAATAGCTTCCAAAATCTAAATATAAAAATTATGTTCTATTAAAAACAATACTTTCATTAGAAATTAGTTATAATTTATTATAATTTTTTTATCTACAATATAGCTTTAAAATGACAACATGCAAAGAGGAAGTTCGTTCTATTTTCCTATTCAGTATAATATTCTGTACAACTACATCTACTGTGATACATTTTGAACGTGAATGGAACGTAACATCAAGTGATCTTATCGGCGAAGACGAAACGCTTGGCAAAGATAACATTGCTGCGTATGCTAAATGTAACGATATTTCAAAGACGGAACGAGAATGCATATTAGTTTACGAATTTCTCCACCCTATGGGTTTTATTTTTAAAAACAAATGTTACGCCAGCTTTCGTCATAATAAAGGTATTGAAAATTTGGATATGATGAAAATACGAGCAGCATCGAAAGGAAAAATAGTAATGTCATACGTTAGCGATCAAGAAAAAGAAGTGGCAAAGTGGGCAACTATATACAGAGTTATTGATACTTCTACGTGTACGTATTATGAAAGTAAAGTATTATTTAATATAACTCAGTTAAGTGAACAGTTAGGAAACAAATATTGGGAGGGAAATGTTTTTATTAATGACGATGAAACATTTGACACATTCTTGGCTCAAAAAAATTTATGCGACGGTGCAAGATGTAGAGTGACCTTTGGTTCTGATGGTAAAATGATCCGTGACCCAGTCTCTTATCTACCCACTGAGTCACTTCCTAGAGACATTCAAATGTTTCCTCTTGTGAAGACTTCGAAATATGATGAATATTTCGCTGTGGTGAAAGAACAGGCCAGACCAAAATTAAATTCCAATCAGCATAATGGACCGACAGGTTTGAAGTTGTTGCACGTAAGAGCTTATTCTACATCTCCGGAAACTATATTAGATTTGAGTAATGTATCAACTTTTGACGTTGATAATTCGCAAGGAGTTTTAACTGTTTGCTGGTCAAGGAGTAAAAGTAAAAATATCACGACCATCGAATGCCATCAATATAATGTTAATAACGAGAAGACGGTCAGTGCTTCTTTTGAATTGCCATATCCTCTGAAAACATTACAAGTTAAAAATACGTGGGCTGGCGAAGAGTTTTTACTTTTGACTGAGGAGTGTGAAAACGATTTGTGCGAAAACGATGGTCATTTTTACATTAGAGCTATAAATCGTCGTAAACCACAAAGTGGTAAAATGGAAATTTTTGACTTACACTGTTCTGGAAATAAAAAAAAAATTAGTATTTCTTTTTTCAATAGAAAATCGATAGAAGATAAAATTTGTATTTCCTTGTCCTGTCAACGTTTTGTAAGAATTGAACCTACGATATCTTACAATAACATCAAACTTTTTCGGCAATGTTTTTTAACCAAATACATCAATGAAGCTTTTTAACAACATTTATGTTTAAATTTAATATAATTGCATAACATAATTTCGCTGTATCATTTTTCCAATATAAATTTATTTATTTACAACTTCCAGAAAAAGTACACACTTGCATGCTTGAAAAAGAATAACTTACTTAAAGTTCGCAATAGTAAATTGATGAAAATCCTAATCATATTTTTCATAATTTGAAAATAGTAAATTTGTGAAATGTTCTTTTTGTATACTATCATAGAGTTTTGTACATTATTAATTAATTAAATATATTACAAAAATAGTACACATTGAACCATCTCTTGAGGAAAGAATTTAATTCAAATGTGCCCGTCCATACATCTTAGAGTTTATCGCGCTTCCAGCTAATTACGAATCTGTCTTCTCACCGCTTCGAGTAATTTGGAAGTTTGTTGAGATTATTAGAACAATATCGGTGATATGATTACCTCGAACTGCTATAAAGCTCAGAGAACCAAAGGAGCCAACTATGTCAATCCAAAATTAATAAAAAGTGGTGTACCTAGAAGCAGCGCTATAATGTCACCTAACAGCACGCTACGTTTCATTTTCATATTTTCTAAGGCGTTTACCTCATATGTGTATTTTAATCTTCATTTGAGATAATTTCAATTTCATATTTCATAATATATCTTACATTTTCGCTTCAAACATTCCAATTTCACGTGATAAAATTTTCGGACGGGACCCCTTTAATCTTCGGTATTTCTTAGAATCTATGCAAAACTTTATTATAGAAAAACCAGCAATAATAAAATAAAAATTAACAAAAGTAATTTACTTTTTTTATGAGTATTTCATCTTTTCTCATCTCGTTTATTGGTTTACGAACGGAGAATTTATCTCATCAATTTCCTAATTGGAATTTTTCGTCAATTCTTTTGAATTGTAAGATTTTATCTCAACTTTTTATTAATGACAATTAAAACGCGGTGAATATAATATTTCAAAAGATATTTTGATAAAGAACTGAGTTATTCAAAACATTAGTTATAGCAAGCTACATTCAGTAAAACCCTAAAATTTGAACATTTTTATTCTTTGCAATATATATTTTTCCAAAATTTCATCAAACTTCAGCTCTACGAGATATGCGCTCTTTTAAATGGCGGTAAAGTGACAATTATAAATTAATAAATAATGTATCACTTATGGCTACAAAGAAAACCTAAGATTATATGGAAATTATGAAGATATGATTCATTATACTCGTAATCAGTATTAATTCACAATTGAGAATCTACTGAAATGAATATTTATTGAGTTGTTAGGTGACATAAATTATTATTTGCATGCATTTTTAGATTTAAACAAAGTGTCGATAATCTATTGGGGAATATATTGAGATAAATAATTTTTAGAAATTTAACGTATATATTATAAAAAATATTTAATAATATCTATCACATGATCAAAAATGAGAGTTATGTCATTTTGATCTCATGAAAAGTTCAATGCAATTAAAAATTCTTAAACATGTTTTCCAATAGAGCCACATTTTTCAGCTTACTCTTCCAAATCATAACATCCTTAAAATAAAATAAAGTTGAAATTAATTCAAATACATTAAAATGTGAACAAGTGTCATTCATATATTGTTATCATTACTTGTTAAGAAGCTATTATATTGTTTGCAACCCAAATTATAGCTTGCGGAGCTGTATCTTTTGATAAATCACACTCGGATGGAATATTCTTATGGTATATTGCTTTGTTAACGTCAGATCGATAATTTTATGGGATTCCGTCGAAAAATAGTCTAACGTTATTTTAAACAGATTCTATAGATTAACATCTCTTATACGTTGTTTATACTACTAGTCATATGGTATATATCACTTATGCTATGAAATCATATTTACAGAGGCTATATTCCATGTACTATGAAAATGAAAGTAACAAAATTATTTTTCCATATCTGTAGTATAAATTTCTCTATCTATGTATACATTGAATTCATATTAGGGAACTATGTCGTAAATATGTATTAACCAACTGTATTTAACATTAATAGATTATTTTTATAGGCAACTATGAGTAGAGTATCTATGAATGTTCGTAAATCAATGAGAGATAATTATTGATTCATTCAGCAATTGATTGATAAATATGTAAAATTATAACTAAATATTCCTTTACCTTAATTTCTAAAACTTTATAACTATACTATTTATCGTAGAATATTGGATGAGACGCCTCGATAAGCAGTCCCTCTAAAATTATTAAGCCAACCGTCGTAACTGTCCAGTTGGCATCTGTCAATGAAACTATTGAAAATCATAAGCTATAGCTTATATTACAGAATCATAAATTTTAAACAATCATGCAAATTTAAAAGAAGATTTTCCGTTAACTTTTATTATAAATTTTGAGATTCCAAATGAATAAAAATACGTACTACCTAGCTATTGTTTGGATACAAATATTACGTAAAAATCTAAGGAAGTTACAAGACCTGCGGTCAAAAGTACATCAGGTTTTCCAAAGACATTTGGGCTCAGTGGACTACCGTGGACCCTATATAATGTTAAACTGAATTTATCAGCTGGTTAAATGGTATGTTTTTTCGCATTATGTCCATACTGTTCAACAAGCTCGATCTAAAATTTTAGTGTGACTTATAAGTTATTTGAATTTTCATAATAATGCGATGTAGAATGAATTGACCGTCGAATCGCGACGATGCGTTATTTAAAAAGTCGAAGCGAATTCTTGTGTTTTTTGTTTACATTCTGACAATCTTCTACATTAATCAAGTCGTATCTACATTAATCACGCCTAGAGTTACAACAACACAAGCAATCTGCATTCCCATCAAATCTGTACTTTTCCTCTTTGCTTATTTTTCTAAGGTATTTTTATCAATCTGGTAATTACTAGCATTTTTTAAAGTACATTCATCAACGTGATAATTAAAAATGACAGAAACCATAATATAAGTAATATCAATTAAGCCGACCTAAATATGATGTTATATTTCAAAGCACAATACTTTTTCAATAAATATAAATGCGACTAATGTAACTATTGGTTTAATGTAACTATTGTCCTTAGCATACTTGTTCAAGTAAACAGCGAAAATTAAAGATAGTAGAACTAAAAAGAAAAATATATATGGCTAATTATTAACTACAATGAATAGTGACATTTAATTGAAGTTCGCGGAGAACAAACGTGAATAATAAATAATGAATAGTCAAAACTCATTTCTAGCATGCAATTCAGTTTTCGGAAATGAGTGGAGCTGCAGTGAAAAAGTGTAAGGCTGCGAGCGCGGGCAGCAGGCGTTCCCGCGCGTTATTATTATCATAAACGCAACAATAACGAGGGGATGATCCGGCGTGTAAACTGCCGGTTCGCCGAGTCTCCCTCCAAGGATTTGCAGAGAGAGAGAGAGAGAGAGAGAGAGAGAGAGAGAGAGAGAGAGAGAGATAGAGAGAGAGAGTCCGACCGACAACGTACCCCCCTGTGCGCGCATCGTGTTATTGTTGGCCGGTGAACGGGATGCAGATATATACTACGACGGAAGCGACCCTCGATTCGTATACACATAAGCGGCTGTTTATCGCCTTCAATTACGAGCTCGATCGAGCTGGGGCCATGCGATTAGTACGCGCCATTGACGCTCTCTCTCTCGCTCTGCTTGTCTCCACTAGAAGCGTCTTATTGTCCTTCCTGACGATTATTTTCGTAAGGAATTGTGGCGCTACCGAGCTTAAACCATGCGCTATCGATGTTTGCATTCACCGAGTAATTAACGGTCTATCAGTCGTCGATTGGACGTTCATTGCTGGAGTACAGACGATGCGTACTTGGATTGGACCTTAGATGCGTCGACAATGCTTTCAGCTATCGTCTGATCGTACAACTGACTCAATCAATGTAGGGAAATTCAAAGATGCTTCGAATTGATTGGCTGCAGTAATAAAAGTTCAATTAACCGGCAGCAACGATAAAAATTAATAAACGCAGCTTGCCGGATTTCCCCCTCGCTTTTCGCTGCGCGTTTGTCGATTATGATAATTTGACGCACGTCAATATATGCGAGTATACGGTGCACTGCTCTCTTGCGAGCGGGCGGCGGCGGACAGTATATTGCTATACGAATATAAAGTCTTGGTGCCGAGAGACACGTGCCGGCACGCTCCCATTGATTTGAACACTATATGCGCAGTACATATTCATATATACGTGTGTGTGTGTGTGCGCGTGTGCGTGAGTATGTGTGTACATACGTCACGTCACGTTTTTTCTCCAATTTCGTGAGGTTTGTTAAGACTGACAAATCCTAGCTTTTTAATTGACCTGCGTTGTTTGGCCCCCATGCGACTCGCTTCAGAAAAAGGAATCGCTGCTTGACGAACTACTACGCGCCTTATCGCTTGCTTTCCCAGCGTACGTGCCTGTGCGTTTGTTTGTGCAATTATTGACAGGCTTGTTTGCATTGTCTACAGGCGAATAGTGGGATGAAAAGTATTTTTGAATATATACATAGAAATGTCTCCATTCTTACAGGCACGTTCTTCTACCGCCATTGCACTCATGTACCCTTCGATCACCTGCATCTAATTTAGATTTTTAATAGGATTGCGTTTTCACTTATTGAATGAGAGGTAGTAAAATGTATAAAATATCTTACAATAATCTAAATGCTGTATTTGAAAATCACTTGTTGCCAATTATTAAAGTGATTTGTATCGAAACTAATGGATGTAATACATTTTCCGTAGTGTTGCATTAACCGCGAATCACACCCTTTGATACGTGAAACACGAGATATGAAGGCATCAATTATGTGCTCATCAATCTTGTTCAGAGCAACGTCGACGAATAAGCAAATAGAACGTCAATTAAATCCACAGGTAGGATATATATAATTCACAGTGCATTGTGTAAGTTATTGCTATATAACTGGAATGCAAACGTCAATTATTGCACCAAACTCAATATTTGAAACATGTTCAAATTGTAAAATTGAATGTTTAAGTGTAGAAATTTCAATATTCAATTTTTAAACTGCTAAATTTCTAAATTTAAATTAATTTAATTCAATTTCTAAATTTCAATATGTTAATGCTTGAAGAGCTACTGAAATTTATACAACTTTGTATTTTTTTAATTTATCTCTACCTTATCAAAAATAAAATGTCGATAAAAAATTAAGATCGCAAAAGCAAAGTTAAAAAATCTATAAGTTCATCATTAAGCTACAAGTTAAATTTACAATTAATGTATTTAGCAGGTAAAAAAGTGAACACTGAGCGAGAATAAGCAAGGCAACAAAGTATAAAACATGGTGAAAAGCCGTTTCCACGAGTAATTTCCAATTTAACAAAATCTCGGCAATCTTCGGTGTCCTCGACGGCTCTCTCGGCGAAACAAAGCCGAATCACGGCGTCAAAGGCGGGACGCGAGAATTTCCAAAAAAACGGTAGAAGAGCAGTAGAGAGGGGATGAAAAGAAAGTAGCGAAAGACGAAAAAAAAATACACATACACATAGAGTATAGTGGCTGCACGGGAGGAGGACAGAGGTAGAAGGAAAAAGGGGAATTACAAAACGTAGCGTTCGCGGATAGGAGGCTGCAGCACATCTGGTGGCAGCGCGCCGGAGCGGACCGAGAGAGCGAGCATTGAACCAGCGAGTGCCACTCGAGAAAACAATAGCGAGTAGCAGCTCTTGTTCTCTCTCTCTCTCTCTCTCTCTCTCTCTCTCTCTCTCTCTCTCTCTTTCCCTTTCTCTGTCTATCGTCACCCTGAAATCTCCAGCCTCAGGGCTACTCTGAAAGAACCAAACGCAAAAGCGTATACGAGACGTGGGGGTCCTTGATCTGCATCCTACTGTCAAAGTTGCTAATAATTAGCAAATTACCACATTGCAAGACAACAATCAGAAATGAAAAATTAAATTCTCTTTTATAGAAAAATGAATAACTTTTTTAAAAAAATGTGAGTACATTAAAAATTACTTTCAATTTGATAATCTGGAATTAATAGTAATTTGAACTTCTTCTAAATCTTCAACAACGGCAACTGATGTTGGATCGTAAATTGAAGACACTCTAGATACTCTGTTAGGACGTCGAGGTGTTGAATTGCTAGAAACTTCTGGTTGACTCCACGGTTGAATTTCGGCCTTGCCGAAAATAATAAAGTTGAGATTTGACAGAAAGTAAATCAGTGCTGAAATGTAAAATATGGTGTGCCATTGTTTGACATTTGTCTGAAATAATTAAGAATAATATTAGTAGTTGAAAAAAAATACAAAACTTGTACACAATGATATTTGCGAGCATGAAAAAAACACACCGAATCGGTCACAATGACTCCGCAAGTCAACGGTGCCAAAATACCAAATAAATTCGCAACGCTGTTGGTAATGGACATTAATGTACCGGCAAAATCAGGACTGAGATCTATATGGTTGATTTGGAAGCCACTACTCGTTCCACTGTTGAATCCAACGGCCATAACCAGTACCAGAATAAGTAACTCTCTATCATGAGTTTTTATTAAACATAAGATAGTCATTGCTAAAGCTGGCACCCAAAGTCCTATTGTATTACTTATTTTGCGGACATGCTGTACGGTGGCACCTTTCTTTAATGCAAAATCGGATAACCAACTGATTGGAAATCCTAAAATCCACATGGCTAAATAAGGTAGTGCTGATATCGCACCACTCTAACAGATAATATCAATGTAAAGAGATATTTATTTTAATAATATGATGATTTGATTTTGAAAAGCATACTCTTTGAACGTCGAAACCAAGTATTGATTTCATGTAAGTAGGCATTTCTGTGAGCATTGTATAAAACCCCCAATTATTTCCACAGTGAACAATCATCAAAGACCATATTGGCACCGATGTAAGTATAGCCATCCATGGAACTTTCCGTTTCTACAACAAGAACAAATCAATTAATTTTTGTACACTAACAAATATTTTTTTTAATTTTCGTATCACATACGAATTTTTCAAAATCGATTCTTAAGTACGAAAGCAACAGCGTCGTCGATTATAAAATTAAATATAAAATATGTTAAATCGCCTTATTTAATGTAAGCAACTCTGATTGTCAACATTTTCTATACAATGGAAATATCTAGCTTTGTATTCAGGTAATTACGCAAGAATTCTTTAGATAACGAAATAAAATATCATGCAGAAATGAAGAAACGCGAGTAAATTTAATTGTTAAGCTTAATGAAAAAACATGGAAAAAATATATGAAAAGTTCAATAATAGTTCTGTACATATAAAGCATGATACTTCGGAGTCCGTATTTTTATCCAATTTTCCAAGACAGTCATCAATGTAATGCTTTTCTTTAGGGCAGATTGTCGGGTGCTCAGATGGCGTATCAACTCCCATAAAGAAAAACAAAATGCTCCAAGCCATGCCAGTTGCACCGATTATATAAAAGATACTTGGCCAACCTAAACGTGAGACTGATAATAAACCTGACAGTGGCATTGTTACTACAGTACCGAATGTCCCAGCATTCATAACAAAAGATCCTAAAACAAAAAATGAGTTATTTCAAGTCGCATAAGTTTTTATAAAAGCTACGAACCTAAGCGAGCTCTTTCAGCCGGGGGGACCCAATGTGCAACTAATGTTTGTACACATGGAAACAAACAGCCTTGCGAAAGACCCGTTGCAACTCGACAACATATCACGGCAGTCCAATCGTATCGCACAGCTAATATTGGTATCAACAAGTTCACAAAAGAGCAGATAAAAACACCGCATGAGAGTAGTTTTTGGGCTCCACGCGTGTTGGCGATATAGCCGCTGGGCACTTGTGTTATAATGTAGCCCCAAAAGAATGAGCTCAAAATTATCGAGCTAGTTTTGGTATCCCAATTGAATTCCTTGTGATTATGTTATTATCATATTATTTTCATTAACATTAATTTTATTCTAGAGTGGAAATATCAGAATATATTTATAATTTTTTAGAAATACATAAGAGCTTCAAAAATTAATTACGAGGGAATGTTTGATCTTGTGTTGTTTCCAAAATATTCTATAAAAAACATTAAATAATTTTTTTTTCACGTCTCACCTTGTTTGCCCTATATATTGTGGCTTTTATTAGTAATGCAAGGTTAATTAATAAACGAGTTTTATACATAAACTACTGATCACAAGTCTACTGAATTAAAAAATTTATCGAATAGCGTCAAAAGAAAAAAGAAGCAGATTTTAGTATAATTCGATAAATAAATACATAAAATATATACATACTGGAAAGTCGGGATTAGCTGATTTAGCGTCGGTCATAGCAACGATAGTAACGGACATAGAGACTCTTACCGCATACGCGATTGCGATACCCAAGAACACGAGGAATATCTGCACGTGTCGCGTGCCCAAGCTTTCTGGGGCATACGTGTAACTCTGCAGCAGCGGACTGTTCTCTCGCGACATTGTTCTCACATTGAAGCTGCGTGATGTTCACGCGACATTTTCGACCCTCTTGTTCTCTTTCTCTAGACACAAGGTTTATCGTGCAACGTCAGATAACCACGGCTTAATCGCTAGTTTGTTTTTAATTTCTCGATATTCCTACAACGATACCGGATCCTTGCTTTTTTCTTCTACGAAAAAACACACATATCGCTCTGGCGTGACTGAGTTTATTGACTGTCTTGAAATTAAATGAAAATGATGCCACACATTAAAAAAAAGCTGAAATTATGTACAATAAGGTTACGAAAATATCTTTATTTCAAAAATAAAACTGACCATGTATAAAAGTTAAAATATGAAGCGCATCTCTTCACAAAAATAAATAATGATTATATACCTAATGAACATTAAAAACAATGGACAAAGAGTTTGTAACAAGGCATATTAGGCCTAACCCAGAATCCAAAAGATACATCCTCTCGCATGGTTATCCAGGTGTGATTGTTAAGTTGGAACATGTAGAAGTCATTACGCGGCACGTAAACCGAATCTGCAGTTTGGGAGTTGCTCACGACTAAGCCAGTGCTGTAGCCTATCTTGCGACATGCGGCTTGCGCTTCGGTTTGTGACTTTGTGGGTTCGGGTAGACAAAGTGACTGCCACACACCGTAAGATCTTCGCTGGAGTTCGCCTCTTCCATTTCTATAAATTGGAAAAAGAAAATAAGTATTAATAGACAAGATATTCATTTTCACAACTTCAATAACCACGCTCACGGTTCAAATCTTGCTGATTTGATAGTGGTACAGGCATGTTCAGTCTCGTCTTCTCCTTGTGGGCAATCGGAATGACCGTCACAAACTACATCAGGCGAGACACACGCTACGGTACCATTGTAAGCACTCCTAGAAAGTATTAGATATTTCAAAAATATATCGAAGCATGTATCATTTCAAAACCAATTCATTTTCCAAAGAAAAACAAACGAACTTTTCGCATTTGAAACTATTATCTTTGCAATAGCAATGTCGGTAGTCTTCGTCAGACTTGTCCAAACAATGTCGACGATTGTCACACACCAATTTAGGCCTTGTTAATTTCAAGTATTCCGCACAAGTGCAAGTTGCTGGCTCATCGGATCCATCTGCACAGTCAATCTTGCTGTCGCAGAATTTCTCTTTTGAAACACACTTGCCATTTCCACAACGAAGCTCAGCTTGGGTACATTCTGGAATGGGCAATCTTATTTATAAAAAGAATTAACGAAAGATTTTTCCAAGCCACGAACTTACTGCATTCAAAAATATTGTCTTCGCATTTTCTACTGTATTCAGAACAAGTATTGTGATCTTCATCGGCTCCATCTCTGCAATCACGAATCCCATCGCAGACGTGATTCCATGGTATGCACTGACCAAAAGCGCATCTGATGCCGTTGCATTCCATTTCGACTGTGTTTGAATTCTGTTCGTCTGAAAAAAAATGTGCATTAATATGTGTAATGTTTTACTACTTAAATATTACATTGTGGATTCAATTGTCATTTACCGATGGCCTCAGACAGGTGAGCATGGATATAATCTATGCTATTCAGAGTTTGTTTATTGTTGAATCCACAATTCTCATCCATATCCTGAAAAACAGCAGTAGGATACCAGCCACCGTTTCCACTCAAGCATACGATATTTCCACTCCAATTCACTGTCTCGTTGATTTTCTGTTTGCAGGACAGCAAATAATATAATTAATTTAGACTGCATTAAGTAATCAATTTTTCAAATGATAACTTACAGAACACGATACATCGTTGTAATCGGTATAACAGCGGTGACATTTAGGACAATTGTCGACTAGCGCCTGGAGGAATTTCATTTTTCTTTGGCCACGGTCAGTGACTCCGAGTGCCACGCAGCTATCGTTCGTCGATGCTGGAAAAATTCTGCGGAATCAAACACATTTTCCATTAAAACTTAGCTTTTTTAAAAATAATATCATTATAATGTAAAATTATACCTCTTTTCTAAGTAAATTGGCTGCACGTAGCGCGTCATGTTTATATCGTTCTTCAAACGGAATAACGACGCATCGGAATTCTTAATAGGTTTAACGTCCACTATTTGAGATATCTGCTGGTAAGGACCACTATAAGGCATATCTGGACAAGCTACTCCAAACACAGCTGTGGTGTAATTTTTACGCAAGCTGCAGTAAAGCCGCAATGTTAATTTGTCAAAAGCGTAAAATTAATATAATAAATATATAAATCTCACTCGATATCCTCGGCGCATTTTGAACTGGCTAGAAGTAGATCGTTTTCCAAAAGTACAGCTGGACACTGATACTTTCCGTCAACAAAGACAGAGCCTTCCCAGGGCCAGAGGTAACTGCGCTCGTCAGTTTCTGGATTCCTCTTAAGATGTACGTTCACCTTACTATCGAGAATAGGCTTGCAGCGGATATAGAGGCCATAACAAGTATTATTGTCTCCTTTTGACATGGGTGTGAATGCCGGGGGATATTCGTAGGTGATGGGAAAATTTTTTGTCGACGACCTTTCTTCTAATTTTGACTTTTGCACAATCACCTCGTTGACGGTATCTAAACTTCTGCAATAGAACCAATCAACGTAATATGATTCAATCAAAGATACATTGGAAGCATTGAAAGAATCGAAAGAAGGTGCTCTCACCGGAAACCGAGATATTCGCAGACCCTTTGGGCAGCGTTCGCACGTTTGGCCTCGCTTCGATACTCAGATTTAAAGCACGAGGGTCGCCAGGCGCCTCTCTCGTAACGCGTCAGCACTCCCGCAAGGTTCAAGTGGGGTCGCTTGTCCAGATCCAGATTCACGCGTTTACCGTCCGTCAGAACAACTAGTAGATTTCGACACATCATTATTGTCCTTTCCTCTAGTGTAACGTTTAAATAACTTACAGCAATCTAACTCGTCTTCGTTGAGTTTACAGTCGTAGGCTTGATTGCAAAACTTTGCCCTTGGAATACAGCCGCCACTTCTGTGGCAGTGATACTCATCGTCACGGCAAAAGCCTGCAAGAAATTTGAGCGAATCGTTAACTGTAAACTCGTATTTATGTGCAAACAGATTGAAAAAATAGAGAAGAAATTACTGCAGTCTTCTTCGTCGGTTCCGTCATTGCAATCGACGTGACCATCGCATACTGATGTTGGACGTTGCAGCATCAAATAATCTTTGCAGGTGCAACCTTCTTCATCCGATGCGTCCTCGCAGTCGAATACGCCATCACAGTGTCTATCCATTGACACTGTCTGTATGATTCTGAGAAAAAAAAATAAACCGTTCACAAGAATACAAAAGCTTGAAAATAAATTCCTAGAATGTATATACTGACCTCTTGCATTTGAAATGTTTCGGCAGTTCAGGAACAATCATTTTAGGAGTCGTCGTTTCAATATCATTGCGATCAGTGACCGTGTCAATAATCGGATTCATCATAGTCGTCGCTATGTAAGTGGTGATGGTTTTCGTCATATCCTCAACATTTATTAGTCTATTTTCGTATTGTTTGTCGACGAGGAAACGCGAATAATAAGTGTCCTCTTGGATTGGACAGCCTATTTCGTCCTCTGCACCAAGGCAATCTACTTTACCGTCACAGCGCTGATTATAGGGTATGCACTTTCTATAAGGTGCGGAACATATGAAACCATTGCACACTGCAAAGAGATAAGCATTAAAAATTAAATTAATTACACATATAGTCGTTGGTTTTAATGAAAAATGTACCTTCTAAAGAAACCTTCTCATTCGAATCGTCATAAATACTTTTGACAGTTGTTCTTGTATTTACTTGTTTTTCACTGATAACATTCTCCTTAGACTTTGACTTGTCATCGCTATATCTCGATAAAAATGAATTTTGAAAGCTACTAGTCGTTGGCATCGGAGGGAAAGCTGGCTGTTGCGGTATATTAGGTGCTTGGATATAAGTACAGTAGTAAGGCGCATTCCGTAGTGGCGCTTGATTATTCATTGAAAACTGTTGCTGTGAGAACAGTGGTCCACCTTGCACTGGATTAGAATGAAGGAAGTGTGCTGGCAGATTACTATGGAAAATGGGAGGCACGATTGGCTGACCGGTGGGGAAGAATTTTATTGATTGTCCTTGGTTCGTACCTGTCAAACGACTGGTTTTTAGTCAAATAATAAACTGAGAGTAAAGAAATTTATATTATGACATTTAAAACATTGAACTCAAGGCTAATGAAGAAAAAGCGTGAAGCCATGGTCAAGAAAGTTTGCTCGAAAGATAGGTACACTACCAGTATTAGTGATCTGATTTCTATAGGAAGCGTCTTATAGCACAACAGTGTCGTTTATCGGAGCATACACGTGGGTGCTGAATACGTAACCGTATACTCTAAGGAGATAGCATTACCTTGAGGCAGGAACTGCGGTGTGAAGAAGGGCTGCTGCTGCTGCGGGGTGCCGGATGGGGGATTGTTGTAAAAGCAGATGGGGATGAACGATGGGTTGTTAGCCTGTGGTGTGATTTGAATCTGCTGGCTGTACTTGGTCGTCTCGGCAGTCGGCAAAATGAACGGTTGAAGAGCGGGTGGAATATTCGGGTTGTTGTTATTGATACCCTCGGGATAATTCAGTTTGTCGCCTGGTGACCCGAATGGATTTTGTTGGTTGTAGATCATGGTCGTGTCGGCTGTCGGCATTACCAACGGTGTCGCGCCACCCATGTTGCGCGTCACATGAGACTCGCCTTCTGTAAACCGAGCCTTACATCAAAGTGTGTTCTCTACTCCTCTTTGCTGATTCGCCTAAATTTTTATTAATTAAATCTTTTCTTAACTGGACACCCTGTTCGTATTATTCAGATTGCCGAGTGGACATTGATACATATACATAAATGTTTACTATATTAAATAATATTTATTACACGAAAATAAATCTTTACCTTGATCTTTTTCGACAATCGTTGTATTGTGAAGAATTTCAGTGATTTTAGCGCCACCTGACACTTTTGAACTGTTAGTCACTGATTCCATGACCTGTTTTGAAATACCCCTTTCGGTTCTTTCGTCACCTTTGTACAGCTCCTCTTTGCTATTAATTTGTTCCTCTCCATCGTCCTCAGACTGGTATTGATTATCGAAATAAGGTAGTACATCGCTAATATGTCTCTGATTGTAGTAGTTTGCCACGTCTTCCTGTTTGTGCTCGATTATATTTTTGCACTTCAGGCAGTCGAAAATTTTTTGATAATTAATATCCCGTGGATCATTTGCGCTCAGAATATTTTGTGTAATGAGTTTATTCTTTATTTCCTCCAACGAATTGACCATCGAATGTGTCATTTCTTTAACAGCTGACAAAAAACAATACTTTAAAATGCTCATTTTATGCAAATAATTTCAATAACAGAACTATCTTAATTATTATTAAATCAGCCATTTACAAGTATACAATACTGATTATGCTACACACCTTTTAAAATGCTTTGGCATTCCGCCTGTCGAGATGAGCAATCTTTGGGATAGTTAGCTTGACGCTTCTTACGTGTCATGGCATCTACTTCATCTTGAAGAAAAGGTATATTTGGGTTATATACATCCTTAGCAGATGCCATTTGAATGACCGCTGCTTTCGTTGCTGGATCGACGTCTAGCGAAACCCATGACTTATATGGAAATCCTCCTTTCATTTCTTTCATCTGTATCGACTCAGAATAGCTATCTGTGAAACAGTGTAATATCAATTAGTGAATATCATATTTTTAAATAATTTTTCATTATAACTGAGTAGATGTTTCTGTTACCTTGTTGGATATTGAAATAAATTACAATCATGATGAAACATCCTACCAACAAAGTTGAAAATAGTACTGAAAAGAAACCAATTCTGTATTGGATAATGAAGTTTAAAATATGATTTTTGTTGTTTTCATCACTGGCATCTTCTTGAGTTCTCACTGAAAAAATATTTTATTTTTACTGTAATCAGCCGCGAACTGAGTATTAATAGTACGATTTTCTTTAAATATTTACCGTATGGAACATTTGTTGAACAGTGTTTTTTACTGCTTATTTTGAAATCCTAAATGTTTACAGTATATATATATTTTAATTTAGAATATATTGTTAAAATATTCTATATAATGAAATATTAACTAACCATTTTTACTAAAAGAGTACAGAGAATTTATAAAAAAATCTCCAACTACCACGGAGATCAATGTAGTACCACTCACATTCGTGTTCTGATTATTTCTGAGCCAAGAATCGTCGCGGTGGACGAGTTAGACGATGCCACGATTGTTAAAAGTGCAATCGTAAGCAGGTGCAAGCAATACTGGCGATTTCGTCATCACTTGCTCTTTTTTCAGTGTAGCTTTCATTTGACATCAATTAGTGGTCAATACAATTACGCATGCGAATCAATTTTTATGATTGTTAGCATTTTCGACGATGCGTTTAAAATCGTTGGAATTTATTGCGCTAACAACCTACTTTTTAATAATAAATCAATAAAACTCATTATTCTGAGATTTCAAATGTTAAAAAGTTGTGCTTTTTACGCTTTAAAGACGTTTCCATGATTCCCCACCAAATTTGTTTAAAATATTTTTCAAAACACATTTTTACTTGAAAAAATTATTTAATTTAAATTCGTTTTATCATTGCTATCATCTTTACAAATGTAATATATTGTAATATATATTACAGTAAATGTTTGCTAAACAGTGAAGGATTATAATAGTGCGTAATGGATGCAATTACTCTACCGAACATTCATTCAATAACTTCGTATTCGAGTCCAATGCAATAATTGCAATGTCAGAAGTTTTTCAAAGAATGAATGAAAATATGTCATTCAAACAGAAATGTTTCATTATTCATTGTAACCAATCATAAATCGATTTAAAGTTATTATTCGAATACGGCATTATTCGTCCATAGAGTCAACAAATATTATAAATTGCAAAATAAAATGTTGCAGTAAAAATATTAACTTTGTCATATTACAAACAATTTTGGAATTGACTATCTGTCCAGATTATTTGTCGATGAAATTGTTTTAGTTAATAAGTATAAATAATAGATTTTTGTCATATGCGATGCTGCAGTGTTTGATCTTTTATGGTAACAGTATGTGTATTATTAAAAAATGCTAATTAAATTAATTACTTAACGTTTAATCGCAACAACATTTTAAACGATAGTTTAATCGAGGGTCGCGACCGCGATTCCTGCGGCATAAATGCGGATGCACGATTTGTTTTTGTTTAATTCCCACTAATATTATTTTTCACCGTCTTATTTATAAGATGGTTCTATCTTTTTTCTTTTTAATCATAAATTTTTTTCAATAGGTTCTATTGTGTATGTGCGCGAAAACGTATCTACATTGCATTTAGTGATAGCCAACCACTTTTTCAGAAAACAAATAGCCAGCAAAAATTATTACTTAAAATTAGCCGGTTGAAGATTTATGCATATAAATTGACATGATTGAAAGTTAATTTGAAGATAAGAATGATAGATATCCAAAATTGATATGAATTATCGGTGATCAGTATTTTAGCATGCAAATAACTACTTATCAAGTTAGTGCCATTATTTTCATTGTATTATTACTTTCAAAACTTCATGAACATTATAATTATTATAATTTAAATAATTTATTTAACATATAAAAGCTATTTGATACTAGTATTCAGCATTCGTGCTATTTTTAGATAGATTCCGCCATTTCTTTCAAAAAGTTATAAACAATATAGTTGTGATAAGTTATTTAATTATAAGAGTAATAAATATATTATAACTATATATTTTTGTAATGATACTGGCTACTATATTTGCTATAGAGTATATTTACAATTCGATAATTTATGTAAAGCATCTAAAAGTAATTTATATTACCGTTTTTAATTGAATATTATTACTTTTAAAAGTTTAGAAACCATTTAAATACAATGTCTAAATAAAATTAATCAAAATAGTTATTTAAAAATAATCGCAAATATTAATATTATAAGTGAAATATAAATTTGTTTTCAATTTTTAAGACATTTTTCAAATCGTTAGAAAACCATTAAAAAGCATTCACGTAACTTTTTACTTTGTTAAAAGTTTCTTTAATAGATATTAACAATAAGTACATTATTTTTAATGAATTTCAATTAACGTAAAAAATCCTGAATCAATTACTGCAGCTTGAAAATAATATTAAAGTTGCAAGACAATAATTGGCTTGATTTAGCCTACCCGCATAGGAAGAGTCTTGGTTTTCGCGGAAAGAAAGAATAGAAGAAACGAGTAAGAGTACTTTCAAGCCGTGACTTCCGATAGCCCGCATCCTCTGCACAAACATGCGTTTTCGTCGTTCTCCTTCATCAAGGTAGAAGCATCCATTATCTCCTTTCTTTGACTAAAGTTCAGTGCGAGCCAAATCTCGTCTGGATAGTAGAATAACGTTTTTGCAAAATGTCTTTTCGCGACTCGCGTGTACACACTCACGATTCGTAACGACTGTGAACGTTTTTGCAACGCATACACATTCCAAATTAGCGCTATGATGAAAGAATGTCACAGATGGAAGGTGTCTTTAGAGCTGGTTAATTCGAACGAGACTCAAAAGCTTTAACAGGCCTGGTATGTATCAGAATAGGACTTGCATTGAGCTGTACATTGTCGAGATATAGAGCAACAATTAAAAAATCATGAAGCAGAAAACGTATAGGTATATGGGACGGCCACGCGCGTGCTCCACAATAGTAGCTTTTGATCGTAACGGGTCGCAGCGAGATAGCATCGGATCGGCAATCGAGGCGAAGTGTACGGGGCGACGAAACAAAAGCGTGCACGGTGCGCGGGGGCTAAAAAATTAATTGGACTTAGCGCGTAAGGGAAAAGTACGCTGATGGGGGGGGAGAGTCTTAAGTGAATGCGGTTTGGTGGCTGATTGAGCGACGAGCGCGCGCGCACGTTATCTCGGTCAGCGTGGCCCGCGATCGCCGCGAGGAAATAAAGCGCGCCTCTATAGCTTCGATAAGCATCTACCCCTCGCACGACTTCTTTCAGAACACTCTCGCCACTCTACTCTACTCAGCTTCTTTCCTCGCTCTTCCCATGATGTTTCGTGTCTTCAAACGCCTTCGTCAGGCATTCAGGCAATTCTGAAATTCATTCGATGATTATGATTCATTGAAAAATCGGTTGTCTCTCGAAAGTTCCTATAATCAGCGCGACGCGATGAACAACTGTAGATACCCAATAGCGTAGGCTGAATTGGCCACGTAGCCGTGATACAATTACGACGATAGCTCGCTGAGGCTGTATGACGCTTTGGCCTGGCGGGACAATGAAACAAGCGCACTTTTGGTATAGCTAGGCATTCGCGGAAGGAAGCGAGCAAAAGCACGCGAGTGAGAAAGAGAACGAAGGCGAAATTCGTGATCCGTTGGCTGGTTGAGTCGTAGAGTGCTCTCTCGCCCCTCCGAGAGCCCCTGAAGACGCGGAGGAGGGCTCTCGACGACCGTCCAGGTGTGTATGTGTGTGTGTGTGTGTATGTGCGCGCGCGCACACACACAAACACACACGAATACCTTCCGATCGTTAGCTCTTTTTAGCATATGCTAATGCGACCCCCTTAATCGGCCGTCTCGCCTCCTCATCTCGCATTATGCGTAGCTGGAGTGCGCCGCCGCAAAAAATGGATGCTGCTACTCGCAAGTATGTTAATGTCGAATAGCCAAGTGCACATGAGCTCGCGACGCAAGCGACTGAGGGACTTGCAATCAGTACTCCGCTTCGTGCGCCCCCATGTATATACATGCATGTATATAGCATACACTTGAACTCGATCGTCTCGATCTTATCTGGGTACTTATTTCCTACTCGTTCGCGCCCCGACCTCTTCCCATTCAGCTCTCTCTTTCTTTCTCTCTCTTTCTCTCTCGAAGATCTTTTCTGTTGGTTTTAGAGTGTTTATTTTGTCCCTTTTCGCAAACCTTTTATAGCTCTTTAGCTTTTCTGATCTCAATCGGATCATAATGATTTCTTCTCGCAGGTTTTAATCGACAGCTCATTTGTTTCAATATTAAAAGCTAAAGCTGAATCATTTGACAATTAAATAAATAAATAAATGATAAATAACGAGTGAACGGTGCTTTACTTTAAAATTACGGTAACTAAGATAACAACACTGACTTATGCAGCATTACGTAAAGTTTCCTCAAAAGTGAAAACTAGTAGAGGGTGTACAAGTGCACGCAAGCACCGCGAGGAACGCTGCGGCATAGCAGTAGCAAGAACCAAAAGCAGCGGCAGCGAAGAGCTCTGGCTGGGGTGGTTTTGCGGCAGCATGGCATCGAGCGAATAGCGCACCTCTCTCTTTCTCTCTCTCTCGCTCGCTCTCACTCATCCGGTGGTGCGCGCGAGCGCGAGGGTAGCGATCGAGCACTTGAGCACGGCCCCGCCGTAGAACAATGGATGTCTCTCTATCTCTCTCTCACTCTCTGCTATGCCTTATCCGCGTTCTCGCACTGCTGCTGCTGCTGCTTCATCCGGTAACGAGCTGCACGTATACTACTGTTCATGTGAGGTGTGTGTGTGTATAAGAAACTTCTTCGAGAAGCTGAGCGTCATTTCTTATATACGCACACAAAAACGTCGGGGGAGGCCCTCGCCAAGAGAGAGAAAGAGAAAGAGGCGACAGAGAGAGAGAGAGAGAGAAATGGGTTTCGCCCTCTGTTTGCGGCCTTGCAAGCACGAGCTATTATGAGATCGTGCGCGCACCCGCCTCCGCCGTCAGTACGTGGTCCGACTTCAAGTACTCCTCGTTTGAGGGCAATGCTT